TTTCATACTAAATCTGGCAACCCAGACATGTAATTTGTTAAAACTGAAATAATAGTCAACACAAAATAAGGAGAATAGAGATATTTGGAATTTAGAGTTTTATAAAAGAAAAAAGAATCCCTTTCATGAACAAACTTTATCAAAGCTAAACACGGAAAGATTAATCCAGCTGTACAAGGAGGGTTCAGTTCCCATGAAGGCCCATGGGAGACACAGGAAGGTCAGAGTTCAATACCGTTTCTTCCACTCACTTTTAAAGATGTTCCTCTTTGAAGAGACCTTAGACAGTCACCACCCTTGCTATTCAAAGTGTGTGTGTAGTGTGGACCAGCAGCAGCATTGGGGCCCTGTTTGAAATGCAGAGTTCCAACCTCCCCCCAGACCTAATGAATCAGCACGTGCATTTTAACAGGATCCCTTGTGACTTGTATGCACAGTCAAGCTTGAGAAATGCAGATTTAGTTCTGTAGTTTCCGAAAACATGCTCTGAGAAGGTGTAGGGCCCACAGGCTCCCTCATGGCTCAGGAAGAGCATGTCAGCAGGGGCTCCTCCCTCCCAGTGAAGGGAGACCTACTCTGCACAATCTGGTTTGGATTACAAGGCAAGATTTCAGTGGAACAAAGGGTCTGTGACAAACACTTTTTCAATTTAAAAAGGAAAGAAGTTGAAAAACAATAATCTAGTTTATTTCATTTTCCAAATGGGGAAACTGAGTAACAAAGACATCATGTGACTACCTAAGTCCTCTGATGGGAACTAACAGGTGCTGTTTCAGTCTGATCCCAGCTTCTTTCTACGACCCCCTGTTGACTGAAGAAGGCAGCACAAAACACCAGAAATTTCCAGCCAGCTGCTTGTCAAGTGTCTTCCAACTGAGCCTTGAATTTTAAATCTGGTCCATTTTCTTTTACACTCATGCCTAGTAACTTCCTTTCAAAGCTCATCTAACCCAACTCAAAGGACTATTTGCTTTGCTGACTGAGCTTGAAGAGAAGTCTCCAGCTGCAGTTGTGTGTACACTGCTAACTGAGGGTACCCTGCAGGTTTGTTTATGTATATTTCAGCTAATTATCTTGCCACAGACCATTGAGACAGATCTGGGTGACTGTTCAATTAATAGTACTGAAGGAGTAATTAGGGAGAATACCTGATTGCACAGCCCACCCAAGCCGGCATATCAATGTGAACATTGACTTCTGAAAGTAATTAATCACATAAATAATTCTCCAGCATGAAATTAGAGATCACCCACGCATTATGCCCGCTAATGTTTTAAAGCATTACTTCCCAAATTTCTGTAATGAATTCCACTACCTTCTGATTTGAATTTTTCAATTTCAGCATACATCCTCCCCTGCTAGCAAGTGATCCTGTTTCCCCTATCAGTTTCTGCAGGAATGTGAATTTGCTGTTCTAAAAAGAAGTCAGATTTAGACATGTCTAAGCCTTGAGAAAGACATAAAAATGCAGACTTGTGACCACAGCACTTTGTGGCAGTGCTAGACATCAGGTGTCTACACCCCCTTGTCCACTGGATAGATGCCTCATGTTATAGCATCAACTTTAAAGATTTTTCTATAAGAACCAACTATTCAGACATTCCCTCACAGAGAACTGCCCCCATTATTTTCTTTTATAAGGAAACCTTTGAAGGACTGAAGATCGACATAGAAAAGCATTTCAATTAGGACTAATTTATATAGATTTCCCTTAAATTTAGAAATCCTAAAAGTTCGTGGAGAGAGGCAGGAGGGACAATGATCAGAAGAACCACCATACAGAGGAATTTTTAAATCACTCTTTTTTTCCCCACAACGTTAAAACCAATTATCTCAGGCAAGCCGATATAAGGATCCTAAGAGTTTAGAGGACAAACCCTTAGATAATATTTTACAAGTGAAGGAACAAAGGCCCAGAGAAATCAGATGATTTAAGATCATATAATTAATTTGTGTTATATGTGAAAGTATTCTAGAAAGAAAGCAGAATTTTGGTAAAGTTATTACTCTTTGGTATCTTTAGGGCTAAGCTAGAGATATCAAGAAGATGTAAAAGAATGTAAAATCAGACCAAATTTTTAAAACCCCAGTTGTATGATATTTGTTAGAGTTCAATTATGAATTTTAAGATATCATTATCAACCAAAGGACTTGTTTGCATGCATATGAGCATAACCAATGGACACAGACAGTAGGAGGGTGAGGGCATGTGCTGGGGGGTGGGGGTGACTGGGGAGAGGTCAATGGGGGAAAAAGGAGATTCATGTAATACTTTAAACAATAAAGATTTTTTTTTTAAAAAGTTATTTAACAAAAAGAAAAAAGAGCTATATTAAGATATCATTATCGAAAAAGGCATTTTATTTTAATCTAGGCAAAAATAGCAGGAGTACATGTACATACTCCCAAAGGGACCAGAAACTACTAGTATGTTCCAAACCTTTCTTTGGTCATATGTCCTTCAACACAGCATCTAGCACCATACTAGACATTTCTGATTTTGTAAATATTTTGTGCATTCGCTTTGGCCCAATAATTCCACTTCTGAGAGTTTATAAAAGGAACTAGTAAGAGATATATTCATCAGATGAGTAGCAAAGTTAGTCAATGTAATGTTATTTATATTGTCAAAAAATTTGGAAAACTACCTCAAATATCAAGTTGATTATATAAAACATTTAGTTACAAATAATATACGTTACAAACATTTAAAATAATTTTGTAGAGGCATAGTTCTTCTTCAGTGTTTACTTGTGGGGGGGAAAAAGAGCTCGTAAAACAGTATGTGCAATGATTCATTGTTCCTAGAAATGCATATAAGTGGTGGACACTGAAAGTTGAAGCAAATTATGTGTGAGTGGCGGGATCTCTGGTGATTTTAAATGTTGATGGGGCAAGTCTGTGTGTGTGTGTGTTTATAACAAATAGTAGGAAAAATCAAGAGAAAATTTTAAGGTAATTAATTCAGAAAATAAGTTTAGGATTATGTTAACAGAGGAAGCTTCACTGTCCAAAATTTTTGTACTTTATTTGGAGGACTTGTGTGATGAGCTCACAAAGTACATGATGAGCATTATTAATCCTGCATTCTTTTCAGCTATTAAAGAGAATAATTAACTTAATGTTTCTGACTTACTAACAGAATACTGAAGTTGTTGATAAGGGTATATTTTTAAGACTGAAATAAAAATAGAACCATGTTCACAAATTTCAGATAAGCTATACACAAGCCACTGAATTTTAAGAATTAAGTTCTACAGTGGGGAGAATTAACTTTGGAAGTAGATAGATCTCATTTTAAATCTTGGCTCTGCCATTTACTAACTTTACAAGTGTGAAAAAATATAAATGATGGAGTTCTGAATATCAAATGAGATCATATATATAAGTCACCTAGTACAAAGCATGAACTACTGTTAGGAGCTTAACAAAATATAACTTTCACAGGCATCATTATCAACATTCTCATTATCTGGGTTGTACATTAATTAGTGCTAGTTCACGGGCCATACTTGCCAGTTGGACCCATAGGCCAGGCAGGTCTTAGAAACGTGGGGATTCAGAACAAAGACTTAGTTGAGCTGCTTGACTCAAAGAAGGACTAGGGCAGTTGTGGCTTCAGAAGTCCATTTGTGAAGTTACTGAAACCAGAGTAGGGGTCATAAATAGTGAGTATAGTGGCATATTGGCATTTTCCCACAGACAGGAGTAACCATGAGTTATAGGGCCATCTGCCTAGAGACGCTTTGTATATTTCTAACGATGATGATTTTTAGTTCCAACAGAGATACACTATTTTTTTACCTACCTCTCTCTTAGTTTTAACTTGTTCTTTTGAAAAATATGAATAATTCAGTTCCACTTACATCATAGACTTAATCAGCTAACACATATAAAGCATTCTGACCACATAATGTTACATAGACAGTACATAATATTATTAGAAGGCAAAATGCAATTACCTTGATTGGTATTTTCCCAGGAAGTAGAACTAATACTCATTTATACCTGGTATGAAAATTCTTCTGCAGCCATTAATCATTGACATTGGAATATAATTGGCAAATCTGGAAAGCTGCCAAATGCCAGGATATCAACACTAATATTTAACATTTTTTTCACATTGAAATTCTTTAGGTAGAAATAAACTTCCTTCAATATTTATTATATTATTTACTCTAAAATTGTAGATATATTAAGAAGACTAATAGTTTCTAGTGTCATTGTGACCATAAAATGAATTTTAGTGTTTGTTTGATGGATGGAGTACTGGGGAGACATGCAGTCCTTTGTCTATAGAAATAACCTGCATTTTAGGACTAGTGACCATATGGGCAATTATTTAGCTCATAAGGTCAGGATGGTTCATGCCCTCCGAAGCTGGATTCAGTTTTCAGGGCATGACATTTGTTAATTTTCAAGCACAAAAAGTAATATATATGAAGTCTCAGCTTAATAAATATTTTTTTAAGATATTAAGTGGTTTTCCTTTTAGTTTATTTGCCAGAAAATCTGGCACCTAATTTGAGGTACACTTCTAAGTACCCTGTAGAATTTTATGGCCTTGAGTTTTGAGTAAGTTAATTAATAAAATGAAATGATGTCATTATTGACTTCTAGAGAAGAGAAAGTGTCAGTGGCTACATAGTAAGAAGACATTTTTCTACTACAGTTCATTTTTGCCTAGTTATATTTGGGCATTTGTAGGATCTTTTAGACATAAATATGCATAAGACATAAAGCTTACCTTTGAGAAGCTCTACATCTGATGGGGGTAGGTATGGCAAATGCCTGTCACCTAAGAGGGGCTGATGGTACCATAATGGAAATTCAGTCATGGGGCTTTGTGGGTATATAATTCCAGCTGTGGTGGTAATAAGAGAGAATTTCACATATCACTAAATTTAATTGAGAAGTTAATCTAAACTACTTGGCAAATATATTTTCTTCTGATGTGATCACCACCCTGGTGTTCATTGTGTTTTCATTTTCTCTTTTAGAGACGCCCAAGCAGATGGCCTGCGATGAAGTTTCGAAGAGGTTCTGGCCACCCAGCCTATGCTGAAGTTGAACCAGTGGGAGAGAAGGAAGGTTTTATTGTATCAGAGCAGTGCTAAGATTTCTAGGACAGAACAGCACCAGTGCTGGCTTACAGGTGTTAAGACTAAAACTTTTCCTATACCATTAAGACAAAAAAAAAACAAACACACACATACACACACACACAGGGAGCCCTAAGCTGCTGTAGCCTGAAGGAAACAAGATTTTTGGACAAGCCCAGCCCAGGAAGGGTAAGAGAAAAACTAAAACTTATACAAGCCACCATTTACCACTGAACATAGAATTCCTTTGAGGATGGCAACTATAGTTCACCCAGAACATCTCGTGTGGACTTCCCAGAATTATGACAAGATTACAGTGCCATCGGCTTAGGTGCAGGGTTGCAAAGGGATCGAGAACAAAAACACTAATAACAAAGCTTTAGTTCACAAAGGATCTACACCTTTGGTTCATATACTCTTCTCTGATGTCTCAAAGATAACTGTGTTCCAAAGCCGGAACCCTTCCACCCAAAAGACCAATGATGAATGTCAAGATTGCTGAGAAAAATAGCTCACGCAGGAACAAACACAAACACAAAATAAGAAATTTTCTATCTTTTCATCAGACGTGTGGCCAAAGGATTGTGTTTTTTCTGGTCTACATCCACCTGTTCCAACAGGTTCATTACTTTATAGGATGAACCTTTTATCTGCACAGGAGGTTTAAACTATGCTTCCCCCTCTCTTGTTAATGAATGCCCTTTTATGAGCTGTGATAGAATTTCCAACCTGTTAGCTAAGGATTAGGAAAGAGGGAGTAGCAAATGAGGCTTTCTATTCTCGCTCCTCAGAATAAAACTTGATTTGCTTTACGAAGCATTGCCTCCATTTCCCAACTGTGAAGTCCTATGAAGCCACAGTTGCTATTGGCTGAAGGAAACAAAAGGATGAGTAGTTCCTTAATCACTTTTTAACAAAAATGTTAAGGGATTCTTAGTATATGGGTATTTTTTACTTTTTGCCGTTTCAGTACTAAAGGCCCATTTCATTGTCGATTCCCTTCTAAGAAGCCATTCAAGTCAGCATATCCCTGGAGATAAAAGAATGAAAGAACCCTGCTGAATCATACAGTAATTTTCTTTAAAGCACATAGTAGTTACATAAATATATATAAATATATTTTTCTTTATAACTAACACAAGGCAGGCTCTTGTGACTCTAAGAGTGCATTTTTGTCATCAAGACAAAACAAATGCAAGGTGCATTACTGCATACTTCCATAGAGTTGTAAAATAATCCTTAATATTAGAATATTTTTATGTCACTTAGCAAAAGTGGTTCAATTGGTTGCAATGCCAATCATTGCCCTGCCTATTTGAGCCACCCTTTCATTCATATCGACTCCTTCCCTCCCTGGCTAAATAAACCAGATGCCCAACACTCCTTAAATGGAGCTGTCATTTGCCCTGTAAAGAAAATCCAGATCTTGAAATTTCCCCCTGAACGAAGATAGAAAGGCATCCTTTTGAGGAGAAAAGTGGCTAATATCTAAATACTGAGCTCCTAAAGTTTAAATTAAGGTACTGTGTGTACAACTTCATCACATCTTGACCCATGAAACTTACATCCTGTGCCAAGAAGCTGTTGGTTTGGATAGGGTACAATGTCTACCATTTGCAGATTCTGGTATCAAGAAGCAGAGATCTCTTAAACAGCACTTCACTAACAGCTTGACGTCTTGTACACAGTGTCTACATTGAATGACAGCAGCTCACTAACAGTATCATATTTATGTACACAACTGTCTCATGTAAACTAGTGCCATTTTCCATCCCATGCAGTTTGTTTTATATTTTTAAGTACCTGTTGAGGGTGGTCATTTTTTCCTAAGTACTTAGTTAATAATTGCAAAAAAAATTGACAGACAAGGTGACTGAAGGATGTGATGACAATCTCTCTGCGTAGCTTCGTTCAGTTTATATGAACTATCCCAACTTATTTTTTTGTGGAGTAGGTTTGATCAGATAGCGATAACCAAATGACTTGCCAATGTAACTGGTGCAACTGGTATTCTACAAAGACATAAGGGACACTTAGACGATTCCTTTTAGGATAAGATGATGCTTCTTTCACTAGCTTTTGTGGTAGGCGTGGCTTCTCACAGCAGTTGATTGACAGTTATATAAACCCTGCCTATATATCCAACTTCTTACACAACTCTTTGAAACAGTAGTGTTATCTTTATACTCTCCCATCTTCCTTTTTAAAAAAAATATATTTTATTGATTTTTTACAGAGAGCAAGGGAGAAGGATAGAGAGAAACATCGATGAGAGAGAAACATCGATCAGCTGCCTCCTGCACACCCCCAACTGGGGATGTGCCCGCAACCAAGGTACATGCCCTTGACCGGAATCGAACCTGGGACCTTTCAGTCTGCAGGCCGATGCTCTATCCACTGAGCCAAACCGGTTAGGGCTCTTCCATTTTTTATTCAAGAGAATCGGCCATTCTGTAGAAAAACATAAAACCCTCTGAATTGTTCAGTGAACTAAAGCACCAAGTGATAGATACAACTTTTTGGAAGGAAAAAGGCTGCTGAAGTATGGGAAAGCTTCCTAACAGAACAGAGACTTAAAGGTGGTGAAATGTTTCTGTTGTGCATGAATCCTTTAGTGGTAAGGGGAAAGGCTGGCTGAATCCCTTTTTTTCATGAAATTTTCAATCTATTTTATATGTCTCTGTTTCCTTCTTGGTGACCATTTATTGAAACAGAAGAGCAGATATACATGAAGTTTCGGGAAATTCAGAATAGATGCTGATACTTTGAACTATACATATATAATATATTAAAAAGGACATGTCTGTACACTGCTTAATAAACTATGAGCATAGAGAGAGAATCACAATTTTAAAAATTAAAAGTAGCAAAGGAAAACATGCAAACTTCTGCAGAAATCAAGTGAATGGTACTATACAGGGAGTTAGTTATTCATCTTCATTATTTGCAAAAATAATATTCAATGATTAGATAAAAGTACTAAAAGTCAAGAAAAATACTTTAAGTCAACCAGATAGCTGTGACCACAATGTTGGTTTGTTTATAAAGGGTGTGGACTTCCAGATATATTAACAAATGGAAAACTAAAGATACATGATAACCTACAATTTGCCCCAGTTATTATTTTAGTTCAAGATACCTAGGGCATTTGTTAATCTGTCACATGTAGCTTCTAGAGCTGGCTGTCCAATCTTATATTCCCTAGACAAATGTGGTGATTTGAATGTAAATTAATTAACATTAAATAAAAATTCATTTCTTCACTCACACTAGTCACATTCAAGTGCTCAATAGCCACATGTGGCTTGTGGCTACCATGTTGGACAATACAGAATCTCCCTGTTGTCACAGAAATTCTATTATGTGGTGCTATAGGGATCTTTCCTTCCAGCCCCCTCCCTTGAGGAAAAAGGAGGAGGATAAAGAAGATTTGGTAGTTCTAAGCTAATCTAAGCATTTTTATTTCAGAGAGGCATGATGAAAAAATGAAAAAAAAAATACCAGCTGATACAACTTTGAGTGTCCACTATGTTATTTTGGCAAAATCACTTTAATCTCCATGAGTCAGAGTTCGCAATTTGGGAAAATAAAAATATATGCATCCTATCTTTCCTGCAAGATGATTATTATGCAGATTGACTAAATGTACAGACTTTTAAAACCATATGTCAATGCAACCCAAATAAAGCACAGCTCTTGGTTCAGTACCAGCACACATTTGCATTCAGGAAAAAAAGTTCATCAATACACAAAGCATTCAAAGACAATCAGATCAATACATTTCTTGAAAAACTGCCAAAGGAGAATACTTTCAAAGCAGACACAAATTACTTAAGTTTCTCTTTGCCCATCTTAATATTTTCTCTTACTAATTCCTCTATGTGACTTCTCTCCCAACCATCTGTCCTCTCCCACACCAAAGGCCTCTATGTTCATACTTCAACTGGCTCACTTCTTTATTAAGTAGAGTCATTAGCATCTCTAGCTTCTTCTAATTTCCCAGTTTATTCTTCACAGCAAAGGGAGGCTTAGGAGCTGACCAGCAGGCTTCCCTTTAGAAGGAAATACCTCAAACGCAAATAACTTTAAATATTTTTTATCCCTGTAACACAAATGTAAGGGGCTATCACATTAAAATATAAATATGTGGAACTTAATTTTAATTGTAAAAATTTGCAAAAGAAGACTATATATTGCATAAAATGAATAAAATTAATTTAAATTATGCTAATATGCAGATAATACATTTTCTCAGATGAGTATAATTTATTAAACTGTTGGCAAAAAAAATTCTTCTTATTTCCTCATTCTGAAGAAGTATAAATTTGGTGATGCTCCTAGGACTTATTGCATATTTGAGAAAAAGTTTTGCTATAAGCTATGTTATGGTTCAAGACACATCCATTCCATGATAAGAAATGAATATTTAAATAAGATTAACTGAAAAATATATCCTGTGGTTATGGTTTCTTGCTCCTGTAAAATGTTATTTTGCTTTGTATTTCTTCAGACATTTTTCAGATATTTTATTACTTTATGTGCTTTACTAATTTCAAATGATTGCTCTTGCTTTTTCTTTCTCATCCCTGCCCCCACTCTTGGCATCAGCATCAGTATGCCAGAATCATGGGAGGTCATCTAATTCAACTTTTTCATTTCACAGATAAGAAAATTGAGTCCAAGAGAGAAAAGTAATTTTCACATTGTCATAACTAGGTCTTGAACTTGAAACTCCTGTCAGGTTATTTTTGTTCAAGTTCTCCTTGTCCATACTCCTTTGTCAGCATGTAAGGTCAACCAAGCAGGTAAGAAGGCACAGTCCTTCTAAATTCTAGCTTTATGTGCTGTATGACTGTCTACTCTGTCCTGTAGAACAGTGGACCAATCTTCCTCTATCATGTTGCTGCTTTAAGAATGGCGCCATTTTAATAACAACCTGTGGTTTCAAGTTCTAGCTATTACAGGATCTTTGTTTGGGTTTTCAGGTACCTCCCCCCTCCCCACTCCTACCTGTCACTATCTAAGTTAACAATACTATTTCTCTTTTGCCATTTAAAATTTTTCTGCCTTTGTTTCATTTCTTCCCCAATGTACCAGAAAATGAATGATATTCACAGCAGGTTTTCTTATCCTTTATATAATCACAATTTTTATTTGCTTTCTAAACTGTCTGAACTGTTTTTTTGTCCTGAGAAGGTTTTTTGTTGTTGTTTTTTTTTTTGAGCAAATATTATGATGTCTGCAGCATTACCTATTACATATATACCCATACTACAATGTGTTTGTAAAGCACTTTACATTTTAAAGAGCATTTTCATTCATTCCTTTATTTGTTTATTCATTTAACCACTCAATCAACTTAAATATTTATTGAAGATCTTGTGGCATATAGTAATAAATACAAATAGTGATAATTGTTTGTAGTATGGTAAAATCCTCAAACACAATTTGGCAAGAAGGTACGATCAATATTATTTCTTTATCCAATTCCAATTTTCTATCCTACTTAGATAAGGAACTATCAAGTATTTGCCTGAAGAATGTTTATGAAAAATGGGACATCATTGCATGCACATCTGTGCTGTTTGCTCTATTTTAAATAATGTGTTAATTTCATTAATGAGAAGAAAATTATATATCCAAAGTTGTGCTGGACACAGGAGAACTTTGCAGGACACTTGAATTCTTTCTGACTAAGCATAATAGTTCACCTTCTTGCACCAATATCTGTTGCATTTTTTAAAATTATCAACATCGTATTTTTTAAGATATTCCAGAAACACCAGTGTATCAAAGAAGCATTTGCACTTTAGATGTGTGTGGCTCTTTGTCATTTATTAGACCATCTCAAGTGTCCTCAACTTCAGCACTGTTGACACTTTGGGGCTCATTAGTCTTTGTTCGGGAGTAGGGGTGGAAGTCCTCCTGAGCATTGTAGGTTGTTTTGTCAGTTTCCAGAGCTTCTATAGACTATATGCCAGGAGTGCTCTCTCTCTCTCTCTCTCTCTCTCTCTCTCTCTCTCTCACACACACACAACAATG